TAAAACAGTGAAGTCGAAGAACATAAGCTTTACCAAGCTTGGAGAAGAGGAGTGTGAGTTCTGTTTGCTTCAGGACCAGCATGTGAGGGCTGATCACCAGGGGGAGGGTGCAGAAAATTGCCCTCAGTGCGAGAGGTGGCATAAACACCAAACTGAAGCAGCAGAGACCCGACTGTACTACAGGTCGGATGCAGACAAGGACTGGCCTGACGACACATCTGTCAGAAGCGTTGACCTGCAGAAAGTCATCATGCTCCCACGCATGCCAGGTGTGAAGTCGGCAGTGTTCACCCGACGAATATCTGCATACCATGAGACCTTCGAGCCAGTGGGCAAAAAACAAAACAAAAGAAAAACCATCTCTGTTGTCTGGCATGAGGGAATTGCAGGGCGGAATGCCAAAGAAATCACATCGGCAGCACTAGAAAAAGAATTCCGTATGCAGCAGCACTAGAAAAAGAGCGGGACATCAGGCATGTTATATACTGGGTGGATAACTGTAGTGCCCAAAATAAAAACTGGTGCCTGTTTTCTTCACTGCTGACAATTCGGAAACAATATCAGCCGAAGATGTCACTTTGAAGTTTTTCGAGCCGGGGCACACCTTCATGAGCGCCGACAGCTTTCACCATGGTGTGGAACAAGAAATGAGGCACAGACCTGGAGGAATGGTTTTCGATTTTGATGACTTTTCTTCAGTGGTGGCCAATTCCAACTCTAGGAAAGAGGAGGTGGTGGAGTTGAAGAATGAGAACTTCAGGGCATGGATGGATAGCCATTCTGCAGGCAAGACTAAAAAAATGCCCAGGCTGGCTGAGCTCAAAGTGGTGCAACTGCGATGTGGGTCAAGGTCCATGTTCGTGAAGAAATCCCATGGGGAGGAGGACTTCATAGAGCTGGACTTCCTGCAGAAGAAGTTTAATCCCTGTATACCTACCACCTTGAGGCCGCAAGACTCAGGTGTGGAGGAGGCCAAGAAGACAGAGATTCTAAAGAATCTTGTTCCCCTCATGCCTCCTACCAGGAGGTTTTTCTGGAGCTCCTTGGCAGTCAGAAACCTCTAAAGAAGGGATAAATTAAGCCCCTCTACCCTTCTATGGACTGATTCTCTCTCTCTCTCTCTCTCTCTCTCTCTCTCTCTCTCTCTCTCTCTCTCTCTCTCTCTCTCTCTCTCTCTCTCTCTCTCTCTCTCTCTCTCTCTCTCTCACACACACAACCAAAATGTCATCAACATTATTATTGTTATTCACCTCTTAACATTCTTTTGTTTCATTTTCTTGTTAATTTAATACAGTTCTTAAAATCAGTTTGTTGTTAGACTCTCACACACACCCACACAACCAAAATCTCATCAACATTATTATTTTTATTCACCTCTTAACATTCTTTTTTTCCATTTTCTTGTTAATTTAATACAGTTCTTAAAATCAGTTTGTTGTTAGACTCCTTTGTAAACTGTCATTTACTGACTATTTGAATAAAATTAATCCTAATCACATAAAATTTGTGAGTGAAAACTGTCGTCTGTACATGCATGTGGTTCTAAATAAATTACATTCTGTCCAGAAAAATGTATTAAAACAGAGTTTTTTTTTAAGAGAAAACACACACACAATATCATCAGATGTAAGCATATTCCTATACGTTTTGTCAGAAAAGGGTGGATGATATTTGTGAAAGGGCATCTACATATTAATGGTCATAGCAAAATCAAACCTTTCAAATGTAAGACATATTTGTGGAAGGTTACTTTCCTACCCCTTAAACTGTTATTTTACTTAAATTGAAGAGATAGTTCACTTTGAAATGAATTTTTTAGTATGTTATAGCTTACCTTAAGGGCACTGTGGTTACAAGAGGTAAAAACTATATAAATTCTGTCCGTTTTTTTTTTCACACAAACCGCTCGTTTTGTATCTTAGGTCATCAATGTGTACTTACATTTACGAGTCATTAAATCATGAGGTGGTGACCATAGACCTCCATTATATGACTGATAGACATGAAAGGTTTGACCTAAAAATATCAAAATTGAAAATACTGTGGAAACAAAGACACCTACATCTTGGATGCCCTATGGTAAGCTAAAACATACCAAAAATTAATTTCAAAGTGAACTATCCCTTAAATTACAACAATAAAGTTTTGAAATGATACAGATAAAAGGCTTCTTATTTTTTCTTTTAATATTCTATTGATGTAATATTAAGCCTTACTAGAAAGAACTCACTAAATGTTATTTTAATGCTATCATTGTTATCATAGAAATGTTTGTATAGAGTGATAAAAGTAAAAATGGTCTATAAATTAGAAGTTAAGGTATTTTGCCTTTGTATGACCCATTATTGTTTTGCAGATAATGCAAAGGCAGAATACATTAACTTCCTAATAAAGGTCAAAAGTCAAGTTTGAGCTCAATTTTTTTTTTATGTAGATAAATGTATTCATTATGACAACTACTTGGCAAATTTTCAGTGTCCTACCTATCATACAATTGGCTGGACAACAAAAAAAAACTTTAAAGTCATTTTTCTCAGATTCACACTCTGGTGAGTTAAGGTCTTTTGCCTTTGCAGGGCAGTGCAGTCCAGGGCATTTCTTCAATCAGCACAGTCACAATAACAGAACACAACGCAGATCACACGGACGTTAACGGGTGTGCATTTAGTCAGATATGCGGCAGACCACGCACACCCGTTACACTAGCATACTCAAAGACAGACCAAGCTGTCATAAGTGATAAAAAGATTGATGAAAAAAAATCTTTCTTATGCCCCCCCAAAATACAATAAAAACTATGTATCTTGTGAGACACGTTGTCTGTTTTAGGGTTATTCTTGTGATTATTTCAGCAAAAAGTTTAATTCATACATTCAAATTAACAAATAAATGCATTTTAGACACTTTTGTTGTTGCCCTGTCCATGCAACAAATGCGTGTCCATGAATAAACAGTTTTACTTTAACTACTCAGGTAAATTCCATGGTAACTTAAAATTTAAAATCAGCCAGACTGTGAAGTTATAGAAATGTATCTTCATACTTGCCAGTGTTTCCCATACCATTGTTTTAGGGGGTCAAAAATGACCCCCGCCTCCCCTAAAATGCTGACAAAATCCAGTCATAAAAAAGGAATTTACTGTATATTTTCGAGGAATAAATAGAAAGTGGTTCAGTACACTTGAAATCAAATCGCGATGTAGACTAGTGTGTGAATATTAAACCACAAAGACTATTTCAATACGAATCCTGCTTGCCTTGTTCTGTGTGAATGAATGGTGCAGCAGTTTCATTTATCACACACACACACACACACACACACACACACACACTGAAGAACGTGTGACGCTTGCACTGTTTTTTGCCTATAGACCATTTCACAAGATGTAAACAACACTGGTCCAGAAGCACTTCCTGTTTCAGTTTGTAACTGTTTTCTTTATTTCACATGTAAAGAAAACATCTTAAAGATGTTTGTTTAACTTTTTGATTCAGTTTTAAATGTTATGTTGGTTGTATTTTATCCCAGCTTTTATGTAGTGTTAAAAAACTGAAACAGGAAGTGCTTCTGGACCAGTGTTGTTTACATCTTGTGAAATGGTCTATATGAAGAGAGAAATGCATGAACTTCCTCTCCAGGCACTAGATCCACTCTGAAAGTCACTTTGTGATCATTTAACCGCTTAATTTCAGAAACTATCATCATGACATAAACACACAGAAACGCAAAAGGTCTTCGCGGCAACCCGTCAAAATAAAAGTTCAGTTTAACCTGACCGAAATATATTACTGTTGTACAGTAGAATTTAGATATGTCCAAATGTATTAATACACTAACACTAATCCAAATAAATTATGATTTTTTTTTTAAACAAAACTGAATTTAAGGAATAATCCATGTTTTAATTTTAACAGTAAAGCTCATTGTGCAGCAAGTAATTTTACAAAAAAAATGTATGATAAATGTTAAAATTTGTGTTTTATGGCTTCATGTTATTAACAGCAAAAACACAGAATTAGTGTGGATTTTTTTCACATATATATATGAAGAGTTCAGATGCAAAAGCCTCTAAATGCCATTTGAAATTTTCTTCTTTAATGATGATTTTTATCAAACTTGTATATTTAAGTTCAGTAATTTTACTTAAATAACAATTCATAGGTAATTATCATTGCCATTTAAGTGAAATTACTGAACTTAAATATACAAGTTTGATAAAAATCATCATTAAAGAAGAAAATTTCAAATGGCATTTAGAGGCTTTTGCATCTGAACTCTTCATATGTTTTTTCTTAAATGTTTATAATGCATAATTTCAATTAATTAGACATGCTTTTTGATTCCTAAAAAAGATACATGCCCGCTCCGCAACACTAGTAGGTTCAAATCCCCCCACTCCCCCTTTAAAAAAATCCTAGGGGAAACACTGCTTGCAAGTAAAGCTTCATATTACAATAATTTATTTATTTACATGTGTCTTGGCCTGAAAATAATCATTTTAAAATTCCCGATTATTTCATTAATTATAGGCATATTATTTCATCAATTACATTGCACATAGGTTAAGGTTAATGTGTTTGTCTTTAAAACTACTACGATTATTAAACTTTTTATAATCGTAACATTTCTCAACAGCAGAAATTGAACATCCACTATACCGGAGTCCTCCTTACTGTACCTTAATTTTCATATAAAAGATTGTCCCTTAATTTCCTTTGCAGGAGTTGGCAACCCTAGCATGTTTGTGTCATGTGTTCTATATTCAGTAATTTTTACGTCATTTTTATGTCCCTCTGCTAGACTGTTAATGGCGTGTTTTTAAAATCTTAAAAAGCGTTAATTGATAATCTTGTTTAAGTTCTCCATATATTGTGTATTATTAGCGTTTAAGTATATTTCTTGCTTTTGAAAATAAAATTTAAAACATAAGGAGATCTTCAGCTAGCTTCTATCTGCTAAACTAGCTCGTGCCGTTTGTAAATAAGACATTAATCATTTACCTTTTGCTTTCTTGGTTGGATACAGTTTTTCTGCTTTGTAGAGGAATTTCAAAGCTTTGTCTTTATTTCCATCTTCGAGGACTTTAACAGCGATATTTAAACATTTTTCAGCTTCATCCCGGTTTCCTTCCATCATTTTATCAGCTGACCGGACAAATAGAAGTCTGCGATTCAGAACAACACTTTCGCTTTCCAAAAAATACGAAAATAAAATATCGTTATTTTACTATATATTATCTATATCATAATGTTTCAATGTACCAATGTGGCTAATGCGAATAAGGCTTTAAATAAATAAATGCCATTATTTTTCATCATAGTTATTTCATCATTTTTTAAATGATACAATAGCTAGGTTAACACGTAAAAATAGGCTGTTTAAAAGCATTAAGTGCAGTGTAAAATCAAACAGTGATTCTAACTAAACAGTTTTTAGTTAACTTTACTTCATGTCTTAACTTAATTGTAAAAATCTATTGATGTACTTTTCATATAGGCTACTATGCTTTGTTTACTCAGAAAACCCACGTTAAGATTAATTCATTGGTTTGAGTTTGGTTTTTGAGGCTGTGAAATTATTTTCCCATTTCCACTTTTCATTCATTTCCTCTACTTCTGCAGTTATTTTTCTCTGTTTGCATTTCCCAACATCTTGAATGTTGAAGCAATCAACAACTTTTTTAGTTGTATCAATACAAAAAAAAAAAAAAAAAAAAAATGAGAGAACATCACATAAGCTGACTTCATAAATTGATGTTTATTGTCCTAAATTGTTTTAGTCACTAGGTGATTAGCGTTCCCTTTGGTTGGGCACATACTTCATATTCATATTATTGTAATTTTCTTCCCATAGCAATTTGCTTTCAAAGGAAGAGAAGTTTTCTCTATTGTATTATATAGAGTAATATAATATAATATTTTGTCTTATATACTGCATGTCCTAAACACCCTGTGAAACTTTTAATTGAGTTTATTTAATCCCTCTATATTTGTGGTGCATTTTGCAATTGATCATGCATTGAGTCACACACAAACTTCAACATTCAGTATGCAAAACACAACAATAATTATATTTTATTTAAAGTAAATTCAAGTACTCTCTACAGTTCTTTTTTAGTTACTAGAACTTTTAGCGTAAGTGAACTATACTAACTAAGCATTTGTCAGTAACACATACTATTCCCATTTCACTTTACTTGTTTTTTTTTTTAAAGCAATCAGTTAGCAAGTCTAACAAATTACATTTTATAGTGTGAAAAAAGGTCTGGAATAAAGCCATTTCATTTTACACAGAATTTCCAGATTAATACTGATATTTGTGTAAGATATGCTTTATTTGTCATGAGCCTGGTTCTTTCTTTCTGTTTTCTTTCCTTTGTCTCCCTCTGCTGGTTATTCTACATCTTTTTTTTCTCTCGTTTTACTGGCATACAGTACATCCATTATCTCTTCCTCTCATTACCGTCAGCTGACTCTCATCTACTACACACCTGTTCTCTATCTTCTTCTCATTTCCACGCTACTTCTAGTGCTCTCTTTCTCGTCTGAATTGTCGGATTATTATTTGACCCTTATGTGTGTTGGTTCGCTGTCTGATGCTTCATCTCAGTAATTGTTTCTCCAGTATTGTCCTGTCCTGTCTTGTCTTGACTGTCTGAACACTACCGTTGCCTACTGCTGTATTCTACCGCTTGTGTGCCGCACCCAGCAGTCGCCGAGGAGAGTTGCGGAGGGTCCGCCTGCAAGCCCGCTGTACCGACTCCATTTCTCCCGACTCATCAGGTTCACCGGCTGAGATCCACTTTCTTCGTTTGAACCTGCTACAGAGCATCTCTCAGTTTCCTTCTGTGAAGAGACTTTTTCTGTTTATTCAGCCTTTGAGGCGGTGACTTATTTCTTATTAAAGTATTTACCTGCAATCCATTCTGGACTCCTCTGATCCTTGACAGAATAATCCGACCAACAAGATGGAGCGGGCTGGTGATCACCCCATTCAAGCCGCCGTGGAGATGCAAGGAGCGCTGTTGGGGAGGCACGACGAGGAGCTCTCCGCGGCTCGCCGCGCAGTGGACTCTTTATTAGCTCAAGTGGCCAATCTTTCTCAGCAGCTTCATGTTATTCGTTTGGAGGTCACTCGTCCTGCCGCCCCGGATTCATCTGAGCCACGGGTAAATAATCCTCCTTGTTACGCTGGCGAACCAACCGAGTGTCTGCCCTTTCTGACCCAGTGCGAGGTGGTTTTTTCTCTCCAGCCAACGACCTACACCAGAGAGCGCTCTCGTATTGCCTATGTAATCTCCATTCTTAAAGGCAGGGCCCGCGAGTGGGGAACCGCTGTCTGGAATGCGGATGGTAAATGTCTGAATTGTTACTCGCTGTTTAAAGAGGAGATGCTGCGTGTCTTCGACCGCTCTGTTCATGGTCCAGAGGCCTCCCGTGCATTATCTTCATTATGTCAGGGACGACGCACCGTCTCTGATTTCTCCGTGGAGTTTCGAACTCTCGCCACTTCTTGCGGATGGAATGAGCCGGCTCTGGTGGCTCGCTTTACTAAGGGTCTCAGTGCTGAGATAAAGGACGAGGTGCTGGCCCAAGAGGTTCCCACTAGTCTCGACCTTCTGATCGATTCGGCTTTACGAGTGGAGAAGTGCTTTGAGCTGCGTCAACGCGCTCGTCGCACCAGTACCACACCCTCTTCCTCGGCTTTCATTAATGCTCCGCTGACACCTTCTGATCCTGAGCCTATGCAGCTGGGAGGGATACGGATTTCTGCTACCGAACGCCAGTGCCGGATCATCAACCGTCTCTGTCTCTACTGTGGTTCGGACAAGCACTTTGTTACCGCGTGCCCAGTCAGAGCTCGTCAGAGCTCACCAGTCATGAGAGGGAGACTAGTGAGCGCATCCTCTCTAGACCCTCTTCCACGCTCCCGCACGATGCTCCCTGTGGTTCTTCGCTGGACTAGTTCGTCTGCCACCTGCTCTGCTCTGATTGACTCTGGGGCTGATGGAAACTTTATGGACAAGGACTGGGCCTCCGGGCAGGGTATCCCACTCATTAGTCTTCAGGATCCTTTGTCTGTCTTCGCCCTGGATGGCAGTGTTCTTGCCCAGGTTTGCTGTACTAGTCTCACCGTATCTGGCAACCACACAGAGACAATTTCCTTTTTGATTTTTAATTCCCCTAACACTCCTTTAGTTTTAGGCCATCCTTGGTTTACCGAACATAATCCACAGATTAATTGGTCTAAGAATTCCATACTCTCCTGGGGTCTTTCCTGTCATGTTAATTGTCTTGTGTCTGCTGTTTCTTCCGTGTCCTCTGTTACTGTCTTTCAGGAGGATCCAGGGGATTTGACCGGGGTTCCGGAGGAGTACTTACAACTGCGGGAAGTTTTCAGTCGCTCCCGGGCCGCATCTCTACTAGAGGCTGACATTTTCCCGCAGGATGGGAGTCATCTTTGCTATTAATCACGGGATTTGGACGGTACAGGATAAATGGTTAACGGGAGCAGACGGGAGCGGGAATCAACCAATAGCAAAGATGACAAAAAAAGAAAAAAGTAAATGCACCATTTTGTAGTTTCCTTTTAATACGCCTAAAATGTAACGCAATTAAAAAATAACTACACGACCCAGCCGTTCCAGAAGCCATCAGTGCTTTTTGTCACGGCTTACCGCCGGAATTCAAAGAGCAGTGATGGAGGGAGCTAATAGCCGCGGAGAAGTCAATGTGGCAAAAAAAATATTTACAGCGCAAAATCAGAAGTAATGACATGTCTATTAAGTTCACAGAACTGGTCGGAAAGTCTGAAATAATAATTAAGTTAATGAGAGTAGAATGTGACGGTGATAGCACGATGTACGCTGCTTGTAAGACATGCATAAAAGGGGGTCGCACACCGGACAAGAAGCGCCGCGCCGCGTCGCGTCTAGGACAACTCCAGGTAACGTATCGCACACCGGACCTGCACTTTCTCATCAGTGTATGGCCATCAATATTGTTATGTTTAATGACATGAAATGAAGATAATGTCTGTTCTATGTTATGATTGTACTGTACAATTAAATACAATCGTTGCTGAGTCTGCAGTCTGAAAACTTTACCTTAGAGCATCCGTTAACTGAATGAATTGAGAATCTCACCTCAAAAATCCAATAACATCAGCAATTGTCATTCAAGCAGCTGATTTCTGAATGAATGCAAAACTAGATGTATATTACTGCATAGGGCGAAGTCAGGATACATTAGCAACGATTTGAGACAAAAATACTTTAAATTTTATATAAAACTATGTAAATGGCGCTCTGTGGCACAGCAGGGTTTTGAACACCGTCCTGAGCCGTTGTTGGGCGCCGCGGACAGACACAGAATGGTGCCGCCGGTGTGTAGCCTACACTCATAGAGAATAATGTGTTCGAATTTTAAAGATGTGGCGCTGCGCGGCACTGAGCTTCTAGTCCGGTAATTGAAGAAAAAATATATATGGGAGCGGTACAGGAGCGGGAGTCAGTTTAAACAGGAGCGGGATGGGAGTGGGAGTCAATTTACCAGGAGCGGGATGGGATTATTTTTTAAACTTTGGTCTGGGAGTGGGACGGGACAAGATTTCTTTCTATGGGAGTGGGACGGGACAGGAGTGAAAATCCACTCCCGTGTCATCCTCTAATCTCTACCTCCCAATCGATTCTACGACTGTAGTATAGAGCTTCTACCGGGAACCACGCCACCCCCGGGGAAGGCTCTACTCTCTTTCTGCACCTGAGCGCAAGGCCCTTGAGAAGTATCTCTCCAAGTCGTTGAACGCGGGTCTAATCGTCCAGTGGGGGCAGGGGTTTTTTTTGTGAAGAAGGATGGTTTGTTGCGCCCTTGCATAGATTACAGAGGTCTGAACGGCATAACCGTCAAGAACAGGTACCCGTTACCTCTCATGTCTTCAGCTTTTGAGATCCTGCAATTGGCGCAGGTCTTCACAAAATTAGACCTCCGTAACGCCTATCATTTGATCCGCATCAAGGAGGGTGACGGGTGGAAGACGGCGTTTAATACACCCCTGGGGCACTTCGAGTATCGCGTTCTTCCGTTCGGTTTGGTCGACGCTCCCGCCGTGTTCCAGACGCTCATTAATTATGTCCTCAGGGACATGTTAAATCTGTT